TGGAAAAATATTAGTGTTTGGCTGAAACCATGGCTGTTATTTATCTATTTACTTATGAGACAGGGTCTTATACTGTCACTGGAGTACAGGCGCATGATCATAGCTCAGTGTTACCTCAAACTCCTGGCCTCAAGTGATCCTCCTGCCTCAGCCTCCCAATTAGCTAGGACTACAGGCATATACCACTACACCTGGCTAATTAAAAAAAAATTTTTCTTTTTTTGGTAGAGACAAAGTTTTGCTATATTGCCCATGCTGGTCTCAAACTCCTAGCTTCAAGTGATCCTCCTGCCTTAGCCTCCAAAAGTGCTGTGCCATTTATTTGATATGTACAGTTTACTCAGTCTTTTAGATATAAGGCACATGTTACACAGTGCCTAAGAGAATATAGATATAAATCACTGTGGAACATGTGCCGTATATCTAAAAGACTGAAGTCTAAGTCTTTTAGATCTTAGAAATAAAAACTGAATAAAACCAAATGTCTAGCCTCAAAAGATATTACAGTCTAGTATAGAGAAAAAGACAGCATATAATAATTATAATACAAGGTAGCATGGGATGAGTAAAATGAGAGGCACAATGTGGGTAACCCCCCTTGTGGGCACTAAGCAGACCCCCAGCACAATTAGTGCTTGAAGAATAACTTACTGCTCATTTATTTCCTTTTATATAACCCTTTAATAAAATCGTATCTTAGTTTGTAGTTGGAGCAGTGTCAAGATCAGACATGATATAGAGCATGAACTAGGGATAAAACAGCCATATCAGGACAAAAATCAATGGCCCACGTGGTAGTGCCCCTGCCTGAAAGGGCATGCACTACATGGCAGGCTGGCCCAGGCGGCAGCATTCAGTATTGTAAAGATATCTGCTGTATGGCAGGCTTGGCGCAAGAGTCACTCCTCCTGTAAGGGAGTTGTAGTGTCTTGTATCCAGTTCCTGTGGAAAGCTGGCCTCAGGCTGGCAATCCGGTGAACTTCAGAGGCCTTAAAAAACTCCTCTGGTATAATCACGCCCCCTTGGCTGTATTCTCTGTCAGCTCTATTGCTATTGTGCTGACTCACAACACCCTCCTATAGAAAACCTTAGAAGTTGCCTGCCCCTAGATAAGAGATGTTGCACACTGCACCCTTCTTGCTGCACACTGCCCACCTCCTTGCCTCGGTGACCTAATGGGGATGGACCCCTTGTTTATTACTCATGTGATTGTCTTTACCCTATCGCTATCCTTAAGATAACCTCACTCACTACCCTTGCCCCTAACCTATACCTAATAAATACAGCCTGGACACTGGAGGCCTCGCCCATCTCCGCTTGTAAGTGGTGCTAGCCCGCTGAGCCCAGCTGCTCTTATCCAGTCCTTTGGTGTTTTGTCTCCTTACTTCTCGGATCCAGCGCCTCAGCACAGTGATAGGGGACACCCCAAGACCCTACTAGGGTTAGACCCTACACAGGGTTATACCCTTCCTATATGTTATAGGAATTTTGAAGAGGAAGTGATCAAAGTTAGCTACAGGGACTTGGTCAAATGTTCATGAAAGATAAACATTTAAGTAAACATCTTGAAAGGTGACAGGTAGAGATCAACAGGGAGAACTTTACCAGTTGAAAGAATGAAGTAAAGTAAGGAACAAAAGAGTGGAAAACTCAGGACACTGTGGAGAATACAGAATATAATTTAGCTTGTTTAGAACACACAGAACATACACAGAGGAGTTGAAAGACATTTGGAAAGGACAGATAGCAACCAGTTATGAATACCCAGGGTAAGGAGTTTGGACTTAAATCAGTAGATAAAAAGAAGCCATTAAAAATATGCAACAATGAGAGAGAGAGCATAAGACAGTCAGTGCTAAAGAGAGATTTTATATATATATACACACATAGAGAAAGAAATGTCACAGACAGACAGATGTAAGCCATGCCCACAGTGGTGATCAGATAAGAATGAGGTGGCTGTTCAGTTCTGTTCACAGTGATTAGTATGAGCCAGACATGCTACTAGGTGCTAAAAAGTCTGGGTGAGCAATTGTAGGACATAAAACAGTTTACTTTCTTCTCTACTAGACACATTTGGGAGGCTAAGATAGGTTAAATAACATTCTTGTGCTGTCATTTTCCCAAATGTAAATAGGCTGTGACCACTGATCTAATAACAGAAAGAAAATGCATATGTTCAATAGCAGCCATATAAACATATGAGAAGCAACTCTCAGCTTTCTTCTGATAACTAAGAAAACAGAAAAAGTTTTTCCTATGTCTGAGGTATTTCAAATATTTGATATTGAAGGAAGTGCTAGGTTGGATCTGTGGTAGTATATTATAATAATAAGTGAAAGTAATGATTAATCTTATTTCCTTTTTTTTTCTTTTTTCACTATACAGGTAGTGCTCGACTTACGAGCACGATTGGTTCTGACAGACCGGTCGTAACATGATTTGGTCGTAATTTGAGTAGGCCATATGCACGCGGAGATGGTAGTGCTGCTGGAAGCTGGTCCGCACTGTTGTACGCCCAGCTGGGCAATGTTTTCGCTGCCAGATGCGGAGCAGTTGTGGCTAGCGATTGTGGTCGTAAAGTCGAATGGTCGTTAAGTTGCATAGGTCGTAAGTCGATCAATACCTGTATAGAAAAGTCTTCTGCCAGATAATCTTCATATTTCCTAAAGTGATACTGGAATACCAAGTTATTTAAAAGAGCATTGACAACAAAAATTAGTTCTAGATACTGGTATTCAATAAAGGAGCCTTGGTTGATAAAGAATAAACCAACACTACCCTGAACTACATACACATTAGATATATTCCCTATCAAAATACCAATTACACTCTTCACAGAAATAGAAAAAACATCCTAAAAATTATACAGAACCACAAAAACCTTGAATAGCCAGAGCAATCCTGAGCAAAAGCACAAAGCTGGAGGCATCACACTACCTGATGTCAAAATTTACTACAAAGCTACAGCAAGCAAAATAGGATGGTACTGGCATAAAAACAAACACACAGAGGAACAGAATAGAGGATCCAGATATCAATCCAAGCATTTATAGCCAACTCATCTTTGACAAAAGTGCCATGAACCCACATGGGGAAAAGGTAGTCTTTTAAATAAATGGTGCTGGGAAAACTAGATAACCATTTGCAGAAGAATGAAACTAGACCCCTATCTCTCTCCATACAAAAAAATCAGATCAGAATGTATTAAAGACTTAAATCTAAGACCTGGACTATGAAACTACTACAAGAAAACATTGGGGAAATGCTCCAGGAAATTGGTCTGGGCAAAGATTTTTTGGGTAAGACCTCAACAAAACAGTAAACAAAAGTCAAAATATACAAATGGGATTATATCGAACTAAAAAGCTCTTGTATAGCAAAGGAAACAATCAACAGAGTGAAGAGGCAACCTAAAGAATTGGGAGAAAACATTTGCAAACTATACATGTGACACACGATTTATATCAGAATCTACAAGGAACTCAAACAACTCAACAGCAAAAAATAAATAAACTATCCAATTAAAAAACAGGCAAAAGATCTGAACAGACATTTCTCAAAAGAAGACATACAAATGACTAATAGGTCTATGAAGAAATGCTCAGAATTGCTAATCATCAGGGAAATGCAAAACCAAAACCACAATGAAATATCATCTCATTCCAGTTAAAATGACTATAATAAAAAACAATATCAAATGCTAGTGAGGATGTGGAGAAATGCTGGGGATGTAAATTAGCATAGCCATTATGGAAAACAGTAGGGAGCCTTCTTAAAAAAAACTAAAAATAGAAATATTATACGATTGATCCAGCAATCCCAATAGTGAGTATATATCCAAAGGAAAGGAAATTAGTATATTAAAGATATACCTGCACTCCCATGTTTATTGCAGCACTATTCACAATAGCTAAGATACAGAATCAACCTAAGTGCCTATCCAAAGATGAATGGATAAAGGAAATGTGGTATATACATACAATGGAATATTACTCAGCCATAAAATGAATGCTATCCTGTCCTTTGCAGCAACATGGATGAGCCTGGAAGGCATGATATTTAATGAAATAGCCCAGGGATAGAGGGACAAGTATCACATGTTGGCACTAATATGTGGGAGCTAAAAAAGCTGATCCTATAGAAGTTGATCCCACAGAAGTAAAGAGGAGAGTCGTGTTTACCAGAGGCTGGGAAGGGTAAAGGAGAGAAGGAGATAGGGTAAGGTCAGTTAATGGTACAAAATTCTAAGATAGGAGGAATAAGCTCTAGTGTTCAATAGCACAATAGTTAACGATAATTTATTGCATATTTCAAAATAGCTAGAAGAAAGGATTCTGAATGTCCCCAATACAAGGAAATAATACATGTTTGAGGCAGATATGCCATTTAGCCTAATTTGATCATTACACATGTATATGTTGTATACATGCATGCACACCCCCAAAAATATGTACAATTAAAAAAAGAATAGACTTGAGTATAAGTAACTAGGTATCTAATTATCAGCTCTCTTCCTTTACAGGAAACAACAACAAAACCTCTCCTTTCAACATACTTAGAAGTAGTTTGGAGTTTAGCTTAAGTATTTGATTAGTTAGCACCAATTTTCCATTCCAAAAACTTAATAAAAATAAAAAGCATGGGACTTTTCCCACAGTACATAAAAAGCCAAGCAACACAGCTGAACAAGTTATCCTACAGCTGACTACTCTGCTCCTTTGTCCACTTATTCTACACCTTACTGTAGTATATTTTTATGAATTTAATGGGTTTGTGAGCTCCATGAGGGTGGAAGCCATGTCTTATATCTACTTCTGTATCTACAGCACTTGCTTAGAATATTGCCTAATACACAAATGGCACACATGTGTGTATGTGTGTAAAGGATGAGTACTTAAAGAAAATTGGCCTGAGCAGATGAGAAAAAAAGAGAACTATTTTGACAATCAAAACTTTATTACTATCTCATAAAAAGTTACTTGAAGAGGAATTCTTACCTGGCGTGTCATTACAAAATATGCATACATTGCCATGGCACTTCCATAAGTGATGAAGTAGGTGACCGGCTCCATGATGTCCCAGGAATATTCCCACCAGGTAAGCCGGGCCAAAATGCCAAACTGTGTGGCCATGTAGGCAAGGCCACCCCATAGCACCAAAGTGGTCCTCTTCTCAGCTTTTCTGCTAATCTCAATTCTTACCTATTAGGCACACATAATCGATCGTAAGGCATTTTGACATAGAACCAATTTTAAAATGCTTAAACTGTTCTATATTCACTGAAGAAACAGGGCTCATAATCAAGACACAAGAATCAATTCTAGTAAACATAGCTTGTCTTCCTAAATAGTATTTGTAGTTTTCACTAAATAAAATATCTTAGGCTGGGTGTGGTGACTCACATCTGAAATCCCAGCACTTTGGTAGGCCAAAGCAGGTGGCTTGCTTGAGTTCAACCAAGGGGTTCAAGGCCAGCCTGGGCAACATGGCAAAATCCCATCTTTACAAAAAACACAAAAATTAGCAGAGCATGGTGGCATATTCCTGTAGTCACAGCCACTTGGGAGACTGAGGTGGGTGCATCACTTCAGCCCAGGAAGTGGAGGATGCAGTGAGCTAAGATCACACTGCTGCACTCTACTCTGGGTGACAGAATGAAACCCCATCTTGAAATAAAATGTATACATATAACTATTATTCATGGTATTTGTATTTTATGTTTCACCCTAAAAGTAGGTGAAAATATGGGTGTGAATAACTCAGTTATAACAGGTCTTCATCCAACCACAAGATAATCTTCTTTGAAAGAGGGAAATGAGGTCGGGCATGGTGGCTCACGCCTGTAATCCCAGCACTTTGGGAGGCCAAGGTGGCAGATCACCTGAGGTCACGAGTTCGAAGCCAGCCTGACTAACATGGTGAAACCCTGTCTCTTACTAAAAATACAAAAATTAGCTGGGCATAGTGGTGGGCGCCTGTAATCCTAGCTACTCAGGAGGCTGAGGCAGGAGAATCACTTGAACCTGGGAGGTGGAGGTTGCAGTGAGCCAAGGTCATACCATTGCACTCCAGCCTGGGCAACAGAACGAGACTCCGTCTCAGAAAAAAAAAAGAGAAAAGAAAAGAAAGAGGGAAGTGAAAACATACCTATATTCTTTCACTGCTGCCTACGTGATTTAATCTATTCTCAGTTTTAACTCCAATGGTATACTAGGGGCAGAACATGGACTCTGGATTTAATGCAGTTCAGTTCAGAGCACTGATCTACAAATCAGCATTAACTTCATTATAAAGGTTGTTCCAAAGATTAAATAAGAGAATATAGGTAAAATACTAGCATAATTCATGACACATAGTAAATATTTTATAAATCATGAGAATTATTTTTCAGGAATCAGGAAATGTAAAATACTAAGAGTATTTGCTCCCCTTGTTACTCCTTAAAATCAGATGTCTTAAAATTGAAGTATCATAGGAAAAATAAAGGTTAACATATGTTCACTGTAAACATTCAGAAAGGTGTAAAGAAAAATCAGTCATAACCCAACTACTGTATTTATATTTTGGAATATATTCCTTCTGATTTCTCTCTCTGTGTATGTATATATATAAACAGGTATATGTATAACACATTTAAAGATTGGATCATAGTATGCACACTATTTTATGATTTGGTTTCTATAGCAAATTAAATGTACATAGTCACTTTAATAGTTGCATAATATTCTATATGCAGTCTTCTCTTGGTATCTGTGGTGAATTGGTTCTAGGACACCCCCTGCACCAAGATACAAAATACACAGATGCTAAAGTCCCTTATATAAAATGGCATAGTATCTGCATATAACCTATGCGTATCCTCCCACATGCTTTAAATCATCTCTAGATTACTTATAACACAATGTAAATGCTATATAAATAGTTACTGGTTTTTAAAATTTGTATGATTTTTTGTTGTTGTATTGCTTTCTTTTTTTTTTTGAGATAGAGTCTCGCTCTGTCATCCAGGCTGGAATGCAGTGGCACAATTTCGGCTCACTACAATTTATGCCTCCCAGGTTCAAGCAATTCTTGCGCCTCAGCCTCCTGAGTAGCTAGGACTATAGGCATGTGCCATGACACCTGGCTAATTTTTATACTTTTAGTAGAGATGGGGTTTAGACATGTTGGCCAGGATGGTCTTGAACTCCTGACCTCAGGTGATCCACCTTCCTCGGCCTCCCAAAGTGCTGGGATTATAGCTGTGAGCCATCACATCTGGCCTTGTTATGTTTTATTGTTTTATTTTCCCCCAAATATCTTCTATCTGAGGTTGGTTAAGTCTGCAAATGTAGAACCTACAGATAACGAAGGGCCAACTGTAATATTCATTTTTAACTTGATTAAAATCATTCCACTATACTGAAGAGACTTTCCTGATCAGCAATTATTCTGATCTTAATTTTAAAGGTGGTAAATCTGGTTAAGGGCAGTACATTTAGACCTGAAAGCTCTAAGTCCATCATCAAGGCTCCAAACAATTCCTTTTTAAGCTCTTTCTTATCTTTGACTGAAACTTTTTTTATGGTTCAGTTCTATAAACTAAAGAACTAATTTGATTGACATGACTCAACTGCATAAAACTTAGAAAAAAAATCAGAAACATACATGCTCTGGAAAAAATACAGGTGAAGTGTAAAACCTGAAATTTGAAGTTTTACCTTTTCCAGGGGAGCCAGTTGCTCTTTGAGATCCTCTAGTCTTTCAATAAGCTCCCTTTCCTTGTTTAACTGGTGCTGCTCAATGCACAGTGTGGTATATAGCTGCTGGACCAATGTCTTTACATCATTCAATGTTGCTGCATTTTCATGACTTAAGAGGTCTGAAACAAAGCAGTTACACTTTTTTAAATGTACGCCTTATATGAAGAGTTGCTATTCCTGGGACTATCAAATGAGGCAGATTCATCTATTACAGGTATTTCACCTTCAGTGTTAAACTGAAGGAAAGTAATAGTTCTTTTTTTTTTTTTTTTTTTTTTGAGACAAGGTCTTAACTCTGCTACCCAGGCTGGAGTGCAGTGATCTTGGCTCACTGCAGCCTCTACCTCCAGGGCTCAAGTAATCCTCTGGCATTAGCTTCCCAAGCAGCTGAGACTGCAGACTACAGGTATGTACCAGCCACCATGCCTGGCTAATTTTTGTACAAACAAGTTTTCACCATGTTGCCCAGGCTGGTCTCGAACTTCTGGACTCAAGCGATCTGCCTGCCTTGGCTTCCCAAAGTGCTGGTACTACAGGCATGAGCCACCATGCCCAGCCAATAGTTCTTGTTAAAACAAAAAAGTTGTCCAGAAATGTAAAAAGTAAATTCGTATTTGGGTAACGTGAATTTTTTTTTTTTAAAGACGGGGTTTCACCATGTTGGTCAGGCTGGTCTTGAACTCCTGACCTCAGGTGATCCACCCAGCTCAGCCTCCCAAAGTGCTGGGATTACAAAGAAAAATTTTTTAAAAAGCTCAAGTAAAGCTTTCATTTTAGAATCTTATTAACTTTAAATATTAGGTACAGCATAAGGGTAGCCCTCTTCTAAATTGAAACAAGCTACAGTCAGATCAGAACTAACCATATATTTCAAACATTCTTTAAGAATGTCCTTGCCGGGCGCGGTGGCTCACGCCTGTAATCCCAGTAGTTTGGGAGGCTGAGGCGGGTGGATCACGAGGTCAAGAGATCGAGACCATCCTGGTCAGCATGGTGAAACCCCGTCTCTACTAAAAACACAAAAATTCAGCTGGGCATGGTGGCATGTGCCTGTAATCCCAGCTACTCAGGAGGCTGAGGCAGGAGAATTGCCTGAACCCAGGAGGTGGAGGTTGCGGTGAGCCGAGATCGCGCCATTGCACTCCAGCCTGGGTAACAAGAGTGAAACTCCGTCTCAAAAGAAAAAAAAAAAAAAAAAAAAAGAATGTCCTTTAGTATAGTTATCACAGAAGTTCAATCAATGAAAAAATTAAAACGAAGGTAGCAAATTGGATTAGAAAAGAGCTGATACAGTAAAATGGGATACAGCACCTAGCTGGGTATCTTCTATGCCTCAGTAAATGTGTGCTGAATTGATGGGAACATAAATGCAAGAGCACTTTGATTTCCAGAAGTCATCTATGTCAACAGCATCTTCCTTGTACCAAAGCTGCTGCTCACATTTGCATATATATAGCTTTAAACTGTCCAAAGTTACCAGAAGAAACTGCACTCTAGGAGGCTGAAGTAACCTGTCCAGAACGTCACAGTAAGGCGTAGAGTCCTGGTCTCCCGATTTCTAGGCCTGGAGCTTATTACAGTGCCTCTACTATACCAATATTAAATTTTTCTTACAAGCTCAGTCCCCTTTCAAAAAGTTAATTCAAAAAGTGGGCATAAATTACCTATGGTCAATGAAACCCTCTTACATACATCTTCCCATGTTATCCTCAAGATAACAGCATGAGTAAGCTTGGTGCTCACAATTTATAAACAAGTACTTTAAGTCCCAGACAGACAAGATTAACAAACACTTCTGTACTGATCTAGTTACCATAGAAGGGAAAAAAAAAAACAAATAAGAGTTTCTCTCCCTAATGAGGTCTAGTAATAGTATTCAAAAAGTCACGGAGATATTAAGGAGTGAAAAAAGATCTGGCTAGTGGGGTGGTAGACTGAGTTTCTGCCACCATGCCTGACTAACTTTTTTTTTTTTTTTTTTTTTGGTAGAGACAGGGTTTTGACATGTTGCCCAGGCAGGTCTTGAACTCCTGAGCTCAGACAATCCACCCACCTTGGCCTCCCAAAGTGTTAGGATTATAGGCATGAGCCACTGCACCCAGCCTAGATTCTATCTTTTTAATTTTTACTTTGAATTTTTATTTTTGAGACAGAGTTTTTGTCTGTCACCCAGACTGGAGTGCAGTGGCACAATCTTGGCTCACGGCAACCTCCCCCTCCTGGGTTCAAGCGATTCTTGTGCCTCAGCCTGCCAAGTAACTGGGATTACAGGGTGTGCCACCATTCCTGGCTAACTTTTGTGGTTTTAGTAGAGACAGGGTTTCACCATGTTGGCCAGATTGGTCTTGAACTACTGGCCTCAAGGCCTCAAGTGATCTACCAGCCTCAGCCTCCCCAAGTGTTGGGATCACAGGTGTGAACCACCGCGCCTGGCCCCTACACTGAATTCTAAATGAATGAGCCCTGTACCCTCAGTGCCTGGTGGAAGTATATGAACTTAAGAGTTTATTGGTAAACAACATTCATAGAGCATTTTTAGGTCTAAAGTGCTGTCCATAAACAGGGAAAATAATAAATAGGAGAGAGAAGTCAAAGTTAAAGGCGGTAAAAAGTGAGGAGGAGAAAAATTTGTGTCAAAAATTTAAAAACTGTCCTAGAAAAGTTTTCCTTCATTAACTATTCTATTAGATAAAGCAGATTTGTTCCATCTTCCCCATGTATATATAAAACCCTAGTATTGGCCTGGCACTGTGTTTAATCTCAGCACTTTAGGAGGCCGAGGTGGTCAGATCATGAGGTCAGGAGTTTTAGACCAGCCTGGCCAACATGGTGAAACCCCATCTCTACTAAAAACATAAAAATTAGCTGGGCGTGGTAGTGCACGCCTGTAATCCCAGCTACTGGGGAGGCTGAGGCAAGAGAATTGCTTGAACCTCAGGAGGCAGAGGTTGCAGTGAGCCAAGATCGTACCACTGCACTCCAGCCTAGGCAGAGCAAGATTGCGTCACCAAAAAATAAAATAAAATAAAATAAAAAACCCCTAATATTATTCCTCTTTAACATCTTGAACCTAATGCTTTCTATTTCTTTCCCCCATTTAGCATTTTCACCAAAGCGTTAAGATGTAGGGCAGAGAAACATGCTTACTCAATGAATGGCATCCCTCTTCAATACAGAATTTCCCAACCACTCTCTTACTTTAGTCAACTGAAAAAGAGTGGTGGTACCTTGGATGTCAGCAATACCTTCCTGACCAGGGAGAGAAAGACACATGGTAGAAACAAAATTTGAGCCTATTTTGCATTTTATCAAAAGAAGAAAGAAAGATATTCTTTATTATGTTTAAAAACCAGTCTGGGAAACATAGGGAAACCTCATCTCTACAAAAAATAAAAAATTTTCCAGGCGTGGTGGCATGTGCCTGTAGTCCTAGCTACTTGGGAGGCTGAAGTGGGAGGATCTCCTTGAGCCTGGGAGGTTTAGGCTGCAATGAGCTGTGATCATGCCACTGCACTCCAGCTTGGACAACAGAGTGAAACCCTGTTTCAAAAAAAAAAAATTTTTTTTAAAAGAAAAGAAAACAGTGTTTATGAATTTAAAATCAAATTGAGTTTCTGTGAGAGATGGTAGCTGATGGCATAATCTTTCACTAGCGAATAGCAGAACTAAGAGAGCTATAATCTGTGCATCTAAACATTAAAAAGGTCTTTTCATATTCTACACCAATGCTGCTATTGAGCTACTAAAGTTCACACTTCAATTTACGATTATTTGCATGAATTAAAGATTTTTGACCCTTGCAAGCTTCATACCCTAGTTTAGAGAAGCAAGGTAGATATTCCACAGTTCCTGGATACAGAGAAAGGAAAGGGTTGTTTGTGGTTGCCAAATCACCACATAATCAAATACAATCCCCCGTTTTTCAATTTCTACCTCTTTTTACTCAATTTGAGAAAAGTTTTAGTTTTTAAAAAACTAAATGTTCATTTCTGTTTAAAAAATCAGTATTACATAAATGGTTGGTATTTATTAACTGATTAAAATATCTTTAGTTTTTGACAATATAATATATGGAAACTCACATCTTAACTTTCCTGATTGTTATACTTTATATAGGAATATATTAGTCAACTTTCAGAATGTTACCAAAAGAAAATCTAAATAGATGAACTCCCTAGGTAATTCACACAAAAAGATACTAAAACAGAACCTGTACTTCTGTTATTTTAAACAGACCTTCTAGCCTGAGAATCAGGGACTAAAGAAGAAAAACACATTAGCATAGCTGATATATGGCTGTCTCCGGTCTACATATTTCATTATTCCAACTTAATAAAATCTGATTCAATAATGTCTTACTACAGTTGACCGGTGAACAATGTGTGGGGGGGTTGGGGCACCACCACCTACAACTTTTAAAACCTCAAAAACTTAACTACTAACAGCTTATGTGGACCAGAAGCCTTACAATTAACATAAATAATTAACGAATGTTTTGTGTATGTATCATATATAGTATTCTTACAGTAAAGTAAGCTAGACAAAAGAAAACATTAAAATCATAAAGAAGGGAAAATAAACTGACAGTGCTATACTGTATTTATCTATATTATAAGTTTACATTGTCTGTTTACAAGATGAATCATCTGTCTGAAATGATGGGCAACCGTAGCTGCAGACCTCAGCCTACGGTACATATCAAGCAATCCAACTTTTTCTTAAACTGTCATGAATTTTCTCTGCTTCTTGGGAGCACTTCCAGTATCACTGGTAGCACTTCGTATGGGTCCCATGGTGTTATTCAAGGTGCACTAAACACACAAAAAAATATTCAAGAACTGCAAGAGATCACTTTTTACTGCAATAAAGACAATTTACTGGAGAGATGAACTATCCATGAAGAGATGATTAGCACCACAGTGTTTTAAGCTGATATGAGAAACACTTGAGTTTACCACAATAGAAACAAGAGGTGGCCATGGAATTACTACAGTAGTACACTATGTACTAGAGTTAATTTTATGTAGTTATTATTTAATACTGCATCTTTATATGTTTACATTTCTCTCAACTGCAAATGGCATCATGTATGGTCTGTAAAAGTGTGCATAAGTTTTGATAATTTTGTACCACTGCATTCCAGCCTGGGGGGACAGAGTAAGATTCCATCTCAAAAATAAAAATGAAATAGACTCATATCTATATATATTTTATGCATTCATGACATACTTAACTTTTTCTTAATTTTTTGATATATCTAGGTTATGTGGTTCATTTGCAAGTTTTTTCAAACCGGTTTTATTCAACAGTCAACTGTATTTAAAGAATATCTTTCCATTCTTACTATTTAAGGATACTTTTCTATACTTTCCACCAGCTAGCTCCCTCTCATCTAGCTTAAAGAAAATGAATATGGCCTCTGCACAGTCAAAATGCTACCCAGTGAACACATTTAATTCACTCCATATAGAAGGAATCAGTGGGGAACACAAAATCACAGTGCCTTCCCTCAGAGCATCTCTACAAAGAAAAGGACTAAGCAAAATTCAGAGAAGAGATTAACCATTTTTGGTTGGTCAGGGGTCAGAGAAAGAATATGATCATTAAAGGCTTACTGGAAGAGTCAATACTGACAATTTTGACTTGAGAAACAGGGGCTAGGAAGAAAGACATCTTAGGCAGAGGAAAGTGAGCAAACAGTGTGATGGAAAAGAAAGGGGCATAGTTCAGGAAACCATAAAGGAATATGCAGTGGAGAAAAAGTAGGCAACATGGAGGATGGAAAACATTGTAAAAGGTAGATGGGGACCATATTATAGAGGAATTTATTAACAGGGTTTCACTCAGAACTTTTCTACGTTAGACCCAATTCTTTCTTTATTTTTTTTTTTTGAAAGATGTGCCACTGTGTTGCCCAGGCTGGTCCCAAACTCCTGGTCTTAAGCAATCCTCCTGCCTCAGCCTTCCAAAGTGCTGGGATTACAGGTGTGAACCACCTTACCAGGCCTAAACCCAATTCTTCAAAGCAGGATGGAAAAGAAGGAATGTCCAAAGCAGTGGTCCTCCGTCCCTGGGGTGCAAACCAATATTGGTCAGTGGCCTGTTAGGAACTGGGCTGCACAGGAGGAGGTCAGCAAGTGAGCATTTCTGCCTGAGCTTCACCTCCTTTCAGATCAGCAGCAGTATTAGATCTCATAGGAGCACAAACCCTGTTCTAAGCTGTGCATGTGAGGGATCTAGGTTGTGTACTTCTTATGATAATCTAACTAATGCCTGATGATCTGAGGTGGAACAGTTTCATTTCAAAACCACCACCCTTGCCCCCACCCCCATTGTCAGTGGAAAAATTATCTTTAACAAAACTGGTCCCTGGTGACAAAAAGAATGGGAACAGCTGTCCTGTGGGGCTGGTAGAGGGAGTGGTAGAAAGAGCATTAACAACAGCAGTGAGTAACAATGAATATTAAGTGCAGATAGAGAAACAAGACCAAAAAAGGCACAACTCAAAATGCTATTTTAGAGGGCTACTTAGCATTGTACTGTGCAGAGCCATAGGATAGCCCAGGATGAAAAGAAACATTAGCAATACGGACTCCGTCTTTATTTAAAATTGTGTTCATCATGCATTTTTTTGCATTAACTTTGTTTTTTAAAAATAGTACATTAAAATACTATTTATCTTGCCAGGTGCAGTGGCTCATGTCTATAATCTCAGCACTTCGGGAGGCTAAAGTGGGTGGATAACTTGAGGTCAGGAGTTCAAGACCATTCTGGCCAACGTGGCAAAACTCCATCTCTACTTAAAATACACACACACACACACACACACACACACACACACACACACACACACACTCTCTCTCTCTCTCTCTCTCTCTCTCTCTCTCTCTCTCTCTTTCTCTCTCTCTCTCCTTCTCTCGCCTGGCTGCTGGGTGCAGTGGTTCACGCCTGTAATCCCAGCACTTTGGGAGGCCGAGGCGGATGGGTCACCTGAGGTCAGGAGTTCGAGACCAGCCTGACCAATGCAGTGAAACCCCATCTCTACTAGCTTGAACTGGGGAAGCAGAGGCTGCAGTGAGCCAATATCATGCCACTGCACTTCAGCCTGGGTGACAGAGCAAGAATCTTTAAAAAAAACAAAAAAACTACTTTATCTTGACTACTGAGTTTTTTGATGCCTTCTTAAAACATGTGTCTGAGGTGAGCACCTTACCTTTTCCCATAAAAGCATATATAGGCTAGGAACAGTGGTTCATGTCTATAATCCCAACACTTCTGGGAGGCCACAGAGGGAGGAGTGCTTGAGCCCAGAAGTTCAAGACCAGCCTGAGCAACATAGTGAGACTTCATCTCTACAAAAAGAAAAAAAATTATCCAGGCATGGTGGCACATGCCTGTAGTCCGAGCTATTCCAGCTGCTCGGGAGGATAAGGTGGGAGGATAACTTGAGGCTGAGGCTGCAGTGAGCTGTGATTATGCCAGTGCACTCTATCCCGGGTGACAGAGTGAGACCTTGTCTCAATAAAATAAATAAAACACGCAACATGTCAGAAGTTCCTAAGAACTATTACTACTGTACAATAATTGACTTTCAGACTGCTGACCTTGAGCCATAAAAAAAGCTCAATACTTGTTACAATGCTTGAGAGAACAGAGAAGCCTATAGCTTATTTTAAAAAGATAACCCCTGAAATGTTATTAAAGTAGTATGACTTTTGGCCTTTATGAAGGGAAGGAGCTTAAGTTATGTAGGACATTCATTTATGTGAAACAGAATGACAATGTCAGATAATAAAGCATTCTGGAATCTAGGCAGAATCTAAGTAATTTTAGTCAATGTACTAGCCAAGTGCCAGGTACTCAATGAGCTCTTCAACTGAAATAGTGTCATCTGTATGTAAAACTTTGAGTGTTCTTTGAATATTGTCTGTTTCTCAAGGTTACCCAAGGAAAAAAACATAAAGTTCTTTCCAAAAGCCCTTCCCACATTTCTGTGACCTTACCAAGGTTACTATTTTACCTCTTTTTGGTGGTCGTACATGATATGTTAAGTCATTAATGACCAGCTTAAAGTCATCAAGGAGGAGGAGATCTATCCCTGTTGAAGCAGCAACACGAACGCCATCTGTGAAAATTTTAAATGAAACTTGTCATAGGTCCATAATTATTCAAGAATGGTCAGGAAAATTCAATCTTCAAAATCATTTTAAAAATTACCTCTTCCCTTTTAAATTTCAGTTAACTTTTGGCCTCATTTCCCAGTTCTATGCAAACAAAGTTTAGGTTGTCTAAAACTCTGTTTTTGGGCCTCAAGTCTGTGAAGATTGAACAACAGCTTTTCCTGTTGAACTATATGAGCAAATGAAACAATTAATGGTCATAGTTCTATAGGTATACATTGGAAATCTAGGGTCACTGGAAGAGCTGTATGGACTTACATTGTCTGTAATGGAAGCTGGTTGAGTCAAAAAAAACAACAACAGTATTTTCTGACATAGTACTTTTCAGTATAGTCACTGATTAGTTGTCAATAATTCAGTAGAGACAGATGCTGGGGTTAGCAAAGTATTATACATCCACCATGCTGGTCTACTAATTATATCGCCAGATGAGTAGAAATGTGGTAATTGTTAACTTGTGAATCCAGGTGAAGGGTAAATAGGGATTTATTGTACTAACCTTTCAAGTTTTCTGTGGGTTTGAAAAAACTGTAGGTTGGGGAAAAAACTTAAGGCACTTAAAAAATAAATAAATGAAATAAATAAAATGGTAATTTTAGTGCCTTATTTTATATTCTTTTCAAATCACATATTTCTTTATTTTAGCAACCTCCTTTCCAGAGATGAGGGTTTAACTACTGAAGTATTTATTCTACACCTACCATAATGATAACAAATCTCAATAATATATAATGTGATTGACTGTTCATCCTTGCCCATGGTATCATATGTGAGCTGCTTTTGAATGAGACTCTGTGTGCACACAGATTTGCTAAAACCAATCAATTACATTCTGAGTATCACTGGGGGAGAAATCACTTTCTCTCCTGATTAAGTGCTAAGCAAAGGAAAAAAGATTTCTGAAGTTAAGGGTTCTTTTGTAGCTATGTGTGTGGTGTATGTATGTGTCTAGGAATGGTGTGGGGTGAAATGAGGGGTAGATGGTACTTAATGATGATGATGACTATACCTGGTGAATAGACGGCAACTCTGTCAATTCCCCGATCCTCTTCTTGCAGTTGTCGTAAAAACACACCAACAGAGTCAGAGATAGGCTTGAGTGTGAACTGACAGCGTTCACGCCGGGATGGTAGCCTCACAGATATCACAGGTAACCCATTTTGATAAACCACTGTAACATCTGAATGAAAAAGACACACAAACATAAGAAAATTGGATTTCGATGTAAGTTAAAGTCACATTATTACTATTCTTGCATGGGGGTCTATATTAGTGTGATTTTAAATGTTTTCAAAGGTTTAAGAACATGCCCTTTAGCTTTAGTTGAAGGTTATTCTGGGAACTGGCTTATAAAAGATCAAATGGATCACACAGCTCATTTTGCAGGTATAAAAAAACAGGCAAGGAGCTGTCTTCTGAGTGGTTCAAGGAGAGGTTTTCCCAAATATATCAGGTGAAGTTCTTGATATTGATGAATACAAACTCTGGTTTCCATTTAGCAAGATTTTATTAAGCAGTCAGAGATTGCTGGGCCCGACTTCACAGCCTGTAGGATGTGGCTCTCAAGATCCAGAGCTTTCAAAAAGTACACTAATAAGTGAGATTCTTACTCCAGGACAGTCAATTCATGTATATATAGTACAATGTTATACGCAAACTGATAAGCGAGAAACAAAAATGAAATCCTAAGCTCCTCAACTGACTGAATGGGCCCTCTCTTGGCCAAGGGGAGCCCAGAGTAACCTTTAAAGCTAAGTTCTCAGCCATGACAGATGTGAGGTCAGACATAACTCATTATACCCCTTCCTTGCTAGTAACCATTAGGCATTCTTTCCTAAGGGCTTAAGAGAAACTAGCCCTTTCTAAAGAATCCACCACTGATATTAAGCAGTTAACTGCACAACACTGTTGGGAAAAGCAGCAAAGGAGAAAGGACTTACAGAGTGCCTACATAAATTGGTTATGACTAACACATAAACAAGGAACAACAAACTGTGGAAGGCCGCAGGAGGCCTCTGAGGAGGAAGGCCTCTCCATGCCTCATGTTCTGGTGCAGGATGACCTACACTTTGTTACCATAAACATTGTGCTCAAGGACGTGAAACCCCTTCGTAGCACTGTGACGCAGCCAGACTTGTAGGCTCCTTTTAAGGCCCGCGTTCCATCAGCTGCATATAGATAATAAGCTAAAGATAATCATATGTTCTTGTTTTGTGAAACTCCCAAACCGCCACTGTTATCAATCCTTAGAATGACACACCAGTTCCGGCTCACTGATTCACTCCACCATCACCCCCTCCCCACCATCACTCCACCCCTACCCTGTAGATCAAAGTGATTATAACCAATAAATAGTATGGATACTTGAAGATAACTTACAAACATTAAAGAAAAAAAAAAAACAGTGTGGATGATCAGAGTTCGGGGCCTTCACTGTCTCCTCCAAAGTAATGAGTAATGCCCCCCTGGTCCCATTATCTCTCTTAATCTGTCTTTTTCTCATTCCTTTGTCACCACCAAACACAGGGTACCCACAAGTGATACAGGGCTGGTTCCCTACATTCTGGCGCCCAGTGTGTGGGGCTCATGAATCCCTACACAACACTGCCCCTCTTTTTTTGCCTGGTTCTGGCCAGTCTATGGAGAATGCACAGAGAGGGTTTTCAAACCCTCTGCTTCATCTTTTGACGCCAGAGAGCTGAAAAGTCTACCTCAAATCATGCGGATGCAGCTATTTTTATACACAAGACCTATGAAGGGGCATGAAGCTCAGTTGTGCATACACACATTTCTCCTTTCATAAATATTCATGACCTCTCCTATATGTAGTGAGTATGTGGATTTGGCCACCCTGCTCAGCATGCATTCCTGTTCTTTTTGCCTCTTCCTCAAGGTGTCTGTTTTTGGCTTCTGACTGGAGGCTACACTTCCCAGCCTGTCAGAGTGGCCACCCTGCAGGCTGCAACGTTTATGAGAAATATAGGTCTGCATTCCAAATTTATGAACTTTGTCATTCTTCAGTTGTCATAAGTTAGTATTCTATCAAAAGCAATTCATGTTCTCTTGAACATCTTCATGAACTTGGAGAGACAGAACCCAAACTCAGTTGTTCAAGATTTTATAACAAAATGTTATGAAGGTAAACATTATTAGGAGCTATAAAATAGAAGGGGTCATCTATAAAAGTATAGCATAGAATGCCTATTTCCTTATTTTTTCCCTCAGTATTCTTGATTTATAGGGCCCTAGTAAAACAAATATCAGAATAACCCTCTTCTGAAATAATTTTCAAATACATTTTTAAAATGCCGTTTTAAAATCAAAATTTTTCACATAAGCAACTAATGATTTAAAGATGTGAGCACTGAGGGTAAAAAACAGGCTTTGGAGTCAAATCTGGGACTGAATCTTGGCTCTGTAATTTTGGGCATATATGTAACTTCTCTGAGCCTCACGTTTTTCATATATAAAATGGGTTTAACCCCTAATTCATAGAACTGTTATGAGAAATGAATGAAATAAACAATTTAAAACACTTAGCACACTACGTGATACATAAATGATAATGTTTCCTTACTAGCATCTTTTAAGAGTCAAAAGTTAGCCAGATGTGGTGGCATCTGTCTGTAGTTCCAGCTACTTGAGAGGCTAAGGCAGGAGGATTGCTTGTGCCCAGGAGTTTGAGGCTACAGTGAACTACGATTGTGCCACTGCATTCCAGCCTGAGTGACCAAGCCGGACCCCATGTCTAAAACCGTTTTTTTTTTTTTTTTTTCTTTTTGAGACAGAGTCTTGCTCTATCACCCAGGCTGGAGTGCAGTGGCGTGATGACAGCTTACTGCAGATTTGAGCTCCCAAGCTCAAGTGATTCTCCTGTCTCAGCCTCCTGAATAGCTGGGACTACAGGAGTGTGCCACCATGCCTGGCTATGTTTTTTTTTTTTTTTGATCGAGACAGGGTTTTGCCATGTTGCCCGGATTGGTCTTGAACTCCTGAGCTTGAGCAATTCACCCGCTTTGGCCACCCAAAGTGCTGGGACTACAGGCATGAGACACTGTGCCTGGCTTTCAAAAGCAATTTTCAAAAATAAAATAAAGAGTCTACAGGAAATATATGAGATTAATGTTTTGGAAATGCCAAGTGCATCATATTTTCCATAGCTGTAGTTGTAGACATTTACAGCTTATTTCCCTTTCTATTCTAGTAATTTATAATGCCTACATTACATACAAAAGCTTCACACTAAAATCTTTCATAATTTGAATTTTCAAGAAATAACCCTAATTGAGGCATAGTTTATAAATAACAAAATATATTCTTTTTTTTTTTTTTTTTTTTTTTTTTTTA